CTTACAGCTGTCACTCTAGAAAGTGCAGACTCACCAAGAACAAGTTTGCAACAAAGGCTGTTTCATCCCTCCATCTCCAGCTCCAGCTCACCAACTCTTTAGGTTGAAGGCCACAAAGAAGCAAACTTCCAGGCACTGCAAACCCAAATTTTCCCAGATTCCTCCTACAGTCACTGCTAAAAACTTTTGGTATGACCAACGTATGTACACTCATTGATATTTGCATTTAAAAACACTCTTTGAACAAAAAAAATTTGCTTTGCCACCTATAACTTGACACACATATTTGTACGAAGACTAAATGTCAACTACTTTGAATAGAGTGAAAACAATTCACAATGAATAATGACAGCAGATAAGTTTTCATTCTATTAATTTCAAGGTATTATTAAAATTTAGAGTTCATTCTAAAAATTTCCTTAATAAGATCAAGTAAACATCTAGGGTCTATCGTCTGTCATTTAAAGGAGCAATCCTCAAATTTGGTTGAGTTAAATGTTCTTTCTAAATGAAACTTCTTAGTCTTTTAAAAATAGAGAAAATGAAAGAATTATTGAATCATTATCATTATTGAAATAATGGACAACCAGATATATCATTTCAACCAATTCTTGTTTGGAATAAATAAGGGTATCATCAACAAAACATATGCTGTTAACTTTTCTTCAACAAACAGAGACACCATCATATGATTATCCAATGCTTTCCCATGATGCATGCACTAAAAATGGTAAATAGCTCTGAGAGAAAGATTTCTCAAGCAAGTCTTTAACACAATGGAACACAGATTTCCATTGAAACAATTTATCCCATACAACATAATTGATGCTTTTTTATATTCTAGAAATCTTTTTTATTTTGTTTCTCAAAATTTGAGAAAGAAAAGTGTTCGCTAATTATAAGAATTGATAGTTTTACAAGTTTGCTCAATGCTTATTTTCTAACAATTTCACAAAAGAGGCACACCCATCTATCATGAAAGTAGTGGGACAAAGTTTAAATGTTTTAATATCCACATCTGTTAATTTATGCATATGCACAAATACATACAAATATTAATTGTGGGTACAAAAATGCTAAAGAATGTGAAGGAAATGGAAGAAACTGACTCATTATGTATGTTTTTTGTAGATGTCACTAAAGAGTTGTAGATAAACATTCCCAGCTTGAAATAAAAAAAACAAAAGAGTAAGTAAACTTTTAAGGAAGGAAAATGAAATACTAATGAAGTGAAATAAAAACAATTTCACATCGACAATCAAATTAAAAATTTACGACCTCCACATTTCATTTTCTAAAACTAGTATGATTTTTGGTCAAATACAAAACTGAAACTAATAAAGATACACTAACAAAGATAATATTCCTTTGAAATGAAAATGTTTATATTATATGCAAATAGTAGAACTCAGTAATATGAAGAGTTATGAAACATTTTCATATAAATTTAATTAAATAAATTTTTCAAAAAGAATTATATTAATTATAAATACATCAATGATGAAATGAGCTTTTGCCAATCAGAAAGTGTGCATTGTTTACTTTTCTTTTTTATTGACTAAGATAATTCACAAATATTTCTGAATAAATATTAATTTACTGCTTTACTCAAGGGGGAGTACAGTTTAAGTAATATTTCAATACAAAATATAGGACAATGATATTAAACATAATGCTGTGCTGTGATTAATATTGTAAAACTATACTGTAAACAAAAATAATTCATCATCAAGTTTACCAATATGTTCTTCATTGTGTTCATGTTCCTTAACCATTTTCAATAAATAATGAAAAGTAATATTTTTTAAACAATTTTGCTAAAATCTCTGGGTAATGAGTTTTCTCTTTTTTTCCTACCTGCATGCCAATGATAGCATAGATAAAAAACAGCATGGCGATGAGGAGGCAGACGTACGGCAGCGCCTATGAACAAGCAGAAATGCCCAATTGACATATTAGCATCAGAATTGAATTACAAGATGTACAAAATATACATTTTTACTATCTATACCATTTATAATTGTATTTATCAAAGTGGCATCTGAAGACTTATTTCATCCACATCATCATTAAATCTTCAGAAATGTCTATATTATTATTTTGTGCTGATATCTCAAATACATTTACTAATAATTTGAAATTTTTATACAAGGTTTTTAAGATTAGAATATAAATTACTAAAAGTAAACATACAAAAACAACCATTAGGAAGATGTGGATGATAAGATTTAAGGACATGCACATACAGTGTTCAAAACTCAAAGATACTAAATAAACATCTCACATATACATTTCTATTTACGTAAGTATGAGTCTACATATTGCACTTTCAAAAGTGTAAGACTACTTAACTAAACTATGTGAAAACTTGTGGCAAATGAGCAGTAGTCTTCAAAGTGTTATAACGAAATGTAATCTAAATGAGATGATATGAAAATAAAACAGGCAACACTTATGACAAACAATACTGGAATGTTCTTTCAATTGATGATCTGACATAAAGTTTGGGTTAATTAACATAACCAAATCAAATTCCAATGTACTCTACAATTAAATATTCTACTGACAACTGAATATGTGAAAACAATTACTACACTTTATAGACTACAGTGTGAATACTTTTAGAGGGATGTGTGAATAAAACTGTTAAAAACTTTATTAGATGAATGCAGTCTATTCTCTAAAACAGTTTTGAAAAATTTTGTTTCAAACATGATTTGAAGACAACTACTCCTGATGGGATCTACAACTAGAATACATGCTTCATATTTGGCAAAATTAGGCTTTCAACAGATTACATTCAATCCATCCATATATTTAAATTGGACAAAACATAAAAAATAATTTGCCATATTTATGTAAGTTACCTCTCCAAACTGATATTCATACACAAGTACATAAAATCCAAAATAATACATGGAGAACAACAAATTGATTTCAAGTGCCACATTAAGTGATTATAGCATGCTTTCTATACATAATGTGAATATTTTAAATGGTATAAATAGTTAAATGTATAAAATGCATCTTTTGTTTTCTGATATTGTTTCTCTCTACAAATTTAGGAAAGAAGTCATGCATAATATATTAAGATACTATTTAACCATAACAGTTTGTATTAAGTACAATGATGTCCTCCTTTATTCTTGAAACCAGTAGGAATGGCATTGGTTTTAAAAATCTACATACACAGTCCAAAGACACACTGAGAAAATTTTCATTATTACCAATTGTGCAATTATTTCAGTGAATTAACTAAATATGATTTGTGATAAAAAAAGAAAAAAAAATCCAATGCATTTCCTTTATTACAACAAGCACTATGCATGTGCAATAATACCAAGAGAATTTACTCTAAATAATATTGAAGCTTATTTGGTGCGAGGTGAATTCAATCAACTCCACTGCTGATTGTTTCGTTGCACCAAGTTTCGATCTCATATATTGCAAATAAAATATATTTACACGCTTTCCAGCAAACTCTAAATCTAAATGCCAGGCTCTTGGTAAGCAATATAGATATTGTGCTATGATACAGGGTTACATTACTATTTGTTGAAATTCCAGTTGATGAAACAAATTTTTTTTATCTAAAATAAATTATTTTTAACTATTATTCAAAATTACAATGTTTTATAGAACTACTTACTCTTGTAAACATTTATATTTTATTTATTCAAATGACAATTCTTTTGTGATATTCCTTCAAAATGTTAATACTTTGCAGGGATCATTATCAGACAAGTCATAGTTTGTATTTATGTACATAAATTTTATAGAATATATTGGTTCACATGACATTCTGTAGTAATGTAACCCTAAAGAATGTGATATCCTTTATTTTGTCTCACAAAAGAAATATAAATATAATAAAGTCAAATGCCAAAATTAAATTTAACAAAAAATTGTAAATACAATAAACAAGCTGCAAATATAAGAATGTTTTAATCCAATTTTATTGTCAAAAGTACTGCAATGATTAAAAATACATAATTTATAGCCTTCATTACATCTTTAAACAATACTTAATGCCTGACAATCATATCTTCAGATACTGACTTGCATTATCTAATTAAGAGAAAGTTGCTTGAACTATGCAAGGCAACTCTAAAAAAAGTGCTTGCTTTCCAGGAAAGAAATTTGTTTTTACAGAAAAGTAGTGGTTACCTTACCATACAGAGGATCAATTTGTTACATTTAATTTCAACACAAAATTCTTGACCATGTCCATATTCCTTGATAGTTAACAAAATCCACTTGCTTGTCTGTATTTTGCTTGTCTCTGTTAATGTACTAGCTTAGTGGAGAGAACAGAATGAGACATATAATGTGTATGGAAGAGGAAAGAGCTGCATAAATATTTTTTCTTCTACTAGTCAATATTGTTTTCTACAGCTTTAGGAACAAACATACTGAACATCTCAATTTGAAAATAAAAAATAGAGATTTATTGCATTGTTTAGGGGAAAACCTAATGAAAATTAGTGAAAACAATTAAAAATTTTGCCAGTATAAATTTTTGAAATTAAGTGCCTCATGTGCATTTTTTCCTCATCCAAACACAAGGCAAACTCAGTTTTCACAGCACTGCAAGCAATGCTAATCAAATTGAACTTTGCCTCTAGCGTATGTACCACCATGCCAACAGGTTCAGTTTCTTTTGTTAAATTATTTTAGAAAAACTATATTTAGCTACAGATGGATGCAGTCATGGATACAGTCAATTTCTTCATTGTTTTATTTACAACAAATTATTGACCCTGAAATTGGTTTCAAAATTATGTAATTTAAATATAATACAGAATATGTAATAATTTAATAAATTATTAACTTTTTATTGCCCGAATAAAAAAATTTTGAAAAAGAAATTGCATTTATTGTTAATCAAAAATTACAAATACTATCCAATAATAGGTGATTCTTTCCTTCAGAAACTGTGCCCTGAAGATATGGGATATCAATCATTGATCAAATCAACTCACTTAAAAGCAAATAATTACCTTGAAGGATTGCACAAATGTCCATAATAATATCCTGATGGTGTAGCCCTGCCTCAAGAGTTTAATGAGCCGAGCCGCCCGGAAGAGGCGTAAGAAACCCACGTTGATGAATTTCTCCTGTGCATCACCATAGAGCAATTTCTGGACAAATTGAACAGTGTTACTACATCACGCTCAACCATTGACCTCAGGGTTGAATGTCCACAGGCAGCACTTATAAGCACAACCAGCATCCTTAAAATATTTATTTTAGACTAATTTCAATAAGAAAAAATGGCACTTTTCAATACTTTATACCATGTAGTAAAAAAGAAAGTTAAATGTATTATACTGTATTCAAAAATCATTTTTCAGTTTCAACTGTCTAATTTTACATCCATTGTAAACAAAATAGAGCAAATATAATTAATAATTTGAAGGGGAAACAATGTTTAAATATATGATTGGCTAAGTATTTTTTCATTCATAGTAAGATTTATTGCTTTGTTGAATAAAGTGATTCTAGGATTCAATTATAACACTGAGTGGTGTCTAGAAATGTATGAACCCTTATAATATGGAATGGATGTAAAGACTGAAATGGACAGGTATGCCATAAAAGCTGCCTAATGGGCCCAGAGTCAGGGTGTCACATGCTTCCAAAAAGAGTCTACATTTGTGCCATGAACTTGCAAATAGCTCTATATGCAAGCTTTTTGGCACCAATAGCATCTCTATTCATACAACCACCTGCTCTGTCAAATCATGCAGAGCATGCAGAGTTTCTTAACATCTAGAGTGTACACCAGAATGTTAGAGAGCATGGCCATTACATTTAGACAAAAAAATTCAATTATTCCACACCCATTTTATTAAATGTTGGAAGAATAAAGTCAGATGATACCCAGCAATTTTGAAGATTCTACCTTTGAAACAAGTGATGAAATCAGTAATATTCTTAGTCAGCAAGTCACTAATGAAAACTTAACCCTTAAACACATCCTAATTTTGAGATATACATAAGAGAACACATGCACACCTGCATATACAGCCTCATTAATTGTATATAATAAATTATTTCTGAATGATAGGGTTAAAATATGTTGAACTCACCCTGCCTGAATACAAAGATTACCTTTGTTTGTAAAATTCAAATATGATCATTGTTTCTAAAGGGTTAAAAACTTATATTGTTGTTTGTGCATGTTGAAATAAAATGCATTAAATTTCATGTTTACAACTTAATAAATGTTTTTAACACTATTGTTCCTGAGGACATATTTGATATGTCATCATCATTTTACTGCTATGTCCTATGGTTGTATGTCGTATATTTTTCTACATTTATCTTCTTTGAAAGGCTATAAACATTTCTCGGTTATTTGTAGACACCTACAATACCCTTCTTAATGCAATTAAGATGGTCACAGGACATTCACCAATATGTGCTTCTACTTGCTGCGAGTATTTGCAATTTTTTCCTCGAAGTGATTAGATATGCAGTCACTGTCAATTATGTTCAGAATGTTTTTCTTTGTAAGTAGTCTTTGTGCTGTACTTGAATTGGTACATTGCATTATTTATTTAATTATTATTAATTACATTATTTCAATAGAATAAGATCCTTTTTTAACTAATGAATTGTAAATTATATTAATTCACATAAAACCCCTATGAATATTACCTTGTGTAATAAAATAATTTGGTTATTTATATTTTAAAATCTTGAATCATTATGAAAATATGCTGAAGCACTTTCTGAATGAAGAGAGAAGCGTGTTTGATTCAGATGCAGGAAGTATAATATCTATAAACATTACTGGGACACCATAATGGTTTCCTTTTTTGTTCCTTCTTGGTCTTAATCCTTAATTTGGCATTTTTTTGGCCAAATGTTAAGCACCATGCTACAACTGTCTCATTATTATTTTATGAGTAGTGTACTACAGCACTTAATATCACACCAAACACTGATATATGTGTATCATCACAGGGATACTGGATGTCAACTGTATTATTATTCAGGAAAAAGATTAAGTGCTGTTGTTGATCTGTGCTATTTCCATACAAACCAGTCCTCTTCTTTTCACTTTCTAGAAAATAAAATAATATCCATTTGTTTAATGGAGAGATGGTTGTGGAAATTCATATCAAGGAGAAATGAAAGGAATAATTTACATTTTGAATTTCTTGCCACAGAAGCTACTACACAGTAATTGTTTTTCCACATAAAATGAAGGCAATTATTTTAAATACACAAGAATTGAAAATAGATTTGTAAGATTCATGCTCAAAGACACTGTTTGCATGTTGTAATGGATGCTATGTTTTGTTTGGCACTAAATGGGAGCATAGGTGCTTGGGAAAGAAAACAATGAGGGTGCGTTTCTATAGGTGATCCTACATCATTCTGATGACACATTGAAGGATATTGCACAGAGTCACAAAAGTACATCACATTATGCAAGTAATATTTTATATTTGCACTTACTACCATGTAAAAGACAGGGATCTTAAGGCACAGAAAGGTATAGAAATAGCACAGTAACATTCTAAACTAGTTTTAAATGTAAGGTGACAAGGAATCTATCTAGTGTATTCATTTGTTTCATCATATGTTTTTGTTTCAAGTTTGATATATGAAAGCATTCATTCTCATTTCAAGCATATTATCAAAATATCATTAAAGGGTTTTGTAAAGAGTTCATTTGACAAAACATAAGATGAAAAGTGAATGCACATGATAAATTAATATGGTTTGCTACAACCACTTACTGACAGAGAAACACACACTGCAGGTAGAGGGCATACTACTCTATTGCAAAAATAAGGTAAGGAGTTTTTATTTCTATACATGTTTCTCTTAGGAAAATGAAATGTATTTCATCTGCAAATATTATGGAATGTTGCGAGCAACACAGTTTTTTATTCTGATAAAGATGTAAATAACTAGGTATCATTATTACAGCAAGCACAGGAAATACTTGATAAAATAAAAAAAATGCTTAGCTGTTCAGGGTAACATCCATTTTTTAACATAATTCCTAGTAATCTACCTTAAAGAAAAAAAAATGGCTATAGTTTTCATTTTTGTATTAAACAAATTATACATCAATCAAGAAAATAAAATTTAGAAGTATCAAAATGTGTTAATGACAAATGAAATACATAAGATAATATGCAATTTCTCTATCACAAATTTCTAAAATAAAATAAATTTTGATTCAGTGACAATTAGCTTTAAAGATTCGTGGTAGGTTATTAATTCTCCCTATGGCCCATGTGAGTAGGAAGTAATATAATTACATGAGTTAATAATTTGAACAAATAACTTTCAGCTAGTGAAAAGCAGGTAGATTTGATTTAAAATAAAATAAGTCTGAAATAAGGATAGGCATTATTCATATAAATATCATAATTTCAAATATAAACAACTAAATTCAAAAAATCTAATAATTTAACCAATCTAAATTTATAATTGTCATATATAATCAACAAAATTAATAATTTTATAGCTTTAAATGATACAAAGGGTAGATGCACTTCATGCCACCAAGACCTCTTTGTCAATATATATACTATCAAAGATATAATTTGGATGTATTTCTCATTACTAAATTTTCTAATTAGTCAAGAAATCTCATAAAATTCATTATTTTTGAAAGAAAATAAGTATATTAAATCACCTGTATTTCATCAAAATGTATTTGTAAACATCATTTAAAACAGAATTATTACAAATCTGTTTAACACAGTCATAGCCTACATAATCTGATTGGTAAAACAATACTGCAAGATGTGGATATCAGCAGACAATGTGTTTTTTTCTTTTTTCTTTTTCTTTCAACTATCTATTTTATTTCAGAATTTTCAAAAATTAGCAATACAAGTAATTTCAGAATTCTAAAAAAATTACATTGAAAATAAAAATTGACTTTTCAATATCTATCCAACCCACTGCATGAATAAATGAAATTTTATTACAAACTTGTGGGGAAATGTCAAACAAAAACTGAATTTAAATTATGTTAAAATTTATAGAGACATATTCTAATGCATTGCAAGGTATATGGATCTCTTACTAAAACTTCGCATGATGTAAGAACATTTTTTTTATTTTGCTAACTTTTATTAATAATGGCACTTGCAACTCTGCTTATTGTTTATAATCATTCTTTTGAACATAAGGTACCAATTAATGACTTTCATAAATGTTATCACTGAAATACTTTCAAATTTTTTTATACTTGAATATATGCTGGAAATGCTAGGGCTTATTGGAAAATAACAATATAATTTAACAAAAATATTGTGGTTGTTGATTAGAAGAAAATAGCAAGAGAAAAATCTGAAAAATATAATATTAGGATAATAATGTTAAGAAGGAATAATGATGATGATGATGATCATGATAAATAATAATAATAATAATAATAATAATAATAATAATAATAATAATAATAATAATAATAATATTGTTATTATTATTATTTGTTTTTCATTGTAAGTATAATAAGTATAACAAAAATCATGAAAACAAATGATGAACATTCATAAAAACTACTTAATCTCCAATTTGAGAGGATTATTTACAATTCTTTACACTACATATAAATGCAATGTTAATTTTAATTATAAAAGAGAGAGTTTAGTTATAAATTGAACTCTCCATCAGTGGTGGCTTACTAACAAATGTTCAGGGTAGGCAAATCATTACTAAACAGCAATGGATCTCAGAAAGGGAACCTGAGGGCCATGTCCCACCTCAATTTACTTCTTTTGTAATTTTATTCTGTTTATTCAAAACAAGTCACTCACTGATATCGTTACAGTCCATTACATTATTATTCATGATGATTTCAAGATATTCAGATTCTAAAAAGTGTTGTGAATTTGTGTTGTTCAGACACTAATTCAGAAATTGGATTCCAAATTTTTCCCAAGATTCATTTTTTTTCCAAGATTCACTGAATGACATATGTGATCTTTAGACATTTCATGTTTTTGTATATCATTTGATAAATTTTTGATGTTAAAATATCCATCTCTATTACAAGAACTCCCATTAACTGACAATAAAATATATCGTCAACAATAAAGCTTACCTACCTGTCTGACATTTGTGTGAATCATAATGTGAAGGATTGAATTTTCTTACATTTTTCTTGCAAGCATAATGTACAACCACACTCAACATAGGAGTAGGTCAACCATTGTCCCAAATTTTTCTCTTTTCTACATTGTTAGGTTGAGAGAACAATGTATGTAGGAGATCATTCACTGTATCTGTCATATTCTAAATCTTAAGATTTAAATAAAAAAAATAAAGTAACACTAATAATCCACAGCATACAAATTCAAAATGAAAAAATAAATACTTTCTAAATAATAATAACCTTCACTGCTTGTTAACTCATCAACAAAACTGTAAATACACACACCATGCAACTTGCATGTGAGTCTGAGACTTCTGGGCAGGTAGCAAGAGAATTCGCTGGCCTTACCCAATGCGCACATCCCAAATCAAGATACAGCATGCTACTATTTTACACTCACTGCAGGGCCTTTTTTCAGAATATGGTGCAAAGAAAAGCAGTATCTGGGCCTGCCTACCCTGAGAGGTGCAAGCGGGCACATGTCTCTGCAGGAAGAGATGAGACTGATCGCATGGCGCAGGGGTTATTACAAACTGCTTGAAATGGGAATATGGCCTGTACCTCAGTAATGAAATGTTCATTATACATTTTCAAATGGATAATATCTACACCATATTAAAATTGTAAGGGTAATTTAATTATTTTTATTATTTTCAAATGTATTAAACTAGTACATAATCCTTGCCTACCCCAAGGAGCTGCCACCACTCTCCATGGTATGGACCTGAGACTTAAAAGAGCCAATAGATTTTGAATTAAATGCTTTGGATATTGTACAATGACATCTTTTGGAATGTGGCAAAATATTTTCATAGCCAAAAATAAATTCACAGCAAAAATATGCATAATTGTCCTAAAAAAAAGAATGTTCTGAACAGGTTTATAATACATTGTTTCTAACCAAAAAAATCACCAATAACCTTTTCAAAGACATACTTTATGCTCTACTAATCATATTTCTGTCAATCTAGAGGTCCCTGCTAGAAAGGTAAGGGGGGATGACCTCTTATCACATTTTGAAATTCAATTTGCGAAAGCCAAAAATTAATATTTTCCTGTACATGTTTAAGTAAAGAAAGTTTCTAGAATTAGTTTCATAAAAGGGAGATTAAGTTAACTTTATGCACATTCATTTAAATAATAAAATGATTGCTGATTATAGGATAAAAATATAACTGTAACACTCAGAACATCAAAAATCTAATTTCTACTATGGTCTAATTTTTTGGCACTAAGCACAAAATACAACATAAAAAAGGTTTCAATTTAATAGGTATGAGATGAGAATCACACAAAGATCTAATATGATGTCTTTTCAGGAAGACCTAAAAAAACGATAGTAAAGCTAGAATGATAAAACTAACAGTTATTAGGCCAAAACTACAACATGGAAAAAAGGATAACTTTTGCAAACGGCAGTTTGACAGTCATGAACTAGTACTTGTGGTTCATGTTTAAACAGTACATGGATCATATAATATTTCTGGCAATGTTTGTTTTTACTGTCAGGTCTAATGACAATTTCAACCAAACAAAAAAAAATTAGGATTTTATAGAAACATTTATAGCAGTACGACAGGATAATAATTTCATCTGTTAATACAATTATTATTTAGATTTATAAACTGTATATCAGTCCTATGTTAAACCTTTTATAATTTCACAAAATAGCTAGATGATGTCTTAATGCCTCTGTTAAAGAATGTAGAAGAAAGCATGTATATCTTATGAATACTTTTCTTCACAAAAATGATCAACTTGGTCAATGGAACAAGCTTATGTTAGATATGAACAACAAAGAGTTAAATGATTGGTATCCTTTGCATTGGTGCAATTGTGCTCAAAGAGCATCAAGTGTCACTGATTTGCCTGACGAAGCTACACTGAACAGTGAAGCAGTGAAGGGGAAGTTACATATACACCACATATAGTTTCTTTCAATAATCAAGTGAATCAAGTAGGGTCATAGAGTGAAATCACCAGTTTCTTTGTGTCAAAGCATTAGTAATGCAACCCAATTTAAATTGGCAAGTTCAGAAGAGTCAATGTACTCAACATGAGACCTATCAACATAACACAATACAGGCTATAATAATTGAAACAAAAGAATAAATGAAGAGCAAAAACAGAAGTACTGATAAAGTAACAATATGAAAATCAAATAATAATATTAATAATAATACAAAAAATACATACAAATATTATTTTTAACAGATATCCTACATTTAATTTCTACATTATTCAATTTACTTTTAGTTGATGAAAACTAATAAATTACTGTAAAGAAGTAAAGAAATAAAATTAAGAATTTGAATTATGAAACAATTTTCAAAATGGTAAATAAAATTCTGTTTGTTTAAAGGTCATTAAACTTTACTAAAAATATAATTTCAAAAAGCACCTGATTATATGGTGCTTTATTAGATTCTGGTTTCTAACAGACAAAAATAACCAAAACCTTAAGTCAAATTGCTGCAAAAACACTTCAGATACATATGAATTTTGAGCCTCATACAAAATTAACATCAGGAAGAAATATTAATTAGGGATAAACTTTCACTGAAAAAAAAAAGTTTCAAAAAATTAAAATACAGCAATGATATTTAAAAGTCAATTCTAAACCATGCTGATTTGTTGTGCTGCACAAATTGTTCTTTTAACTTCAGTTGCTTTCATAACTTGTAAAATTACACTAAGATGTATAATGTCTACAAATTCACTACAACTAAATGTAGTAAGGCAAAGATATTAAAAAAAATTTTGTAACACAAGAATTAATTCATTCTTAACTCAATTTTGCACAAAAGAACAATGTGTTTTATCTTTTCTGAAATTAAATTATCTCCTTATAACAATAAGGATTTTGCATAAAAGGTTGTCTCCTTTACAGTGAATAAAAACTGAGGCAATTTATATTAGCAATAAATTAGCCAAATAATATACTCAAAATTCCAAGTAATTTTTCTGAAGAATTTTCAAAGAAACCATTCACTGAATTTTTATTTATAAGATTTTTTAATTTATGTAAAGAAAACTAACTTTCTTATTTACTTTTCCTTTTCCGGTAACCAAACTTTATTTAAAACAAAACTTAAATTGTGCAATAACTTAATTTACTACTAAGTTAAGTGATTAATGATTTAAGAAAATAATTCTTGATAATGTAATTATTCTCTTGAGTTCTTACATTTAACTTTTATTTACAAATGCAAGATAAAAACAATGTTAATAAATATTCCTTTTAACTGTTAAAGTGAGAGAAAAGTTCAATCTAAATTGCAAATGTGTTGCAAGTAACGTTCATAATGCTGAAGAAGGTTAAGGTATATTTTTTTAACTTAAGATGACTCTGCAATACATTCATGCAAATATACAAGTGTTAATTTTGAAGAGAAAACATTAATACAATCATATAGATATGCCATCTACTTGCAAGTTTGTTCTGAGTCAAGCATATATAAATGGTATTTTTAACTAACAAACTGCAAGTACATTTATTTATCTGTACTTAATTTTTTAATGTATTAATTCATACAGAATATTTCAGGATTGCTACTACAGAAGAGTAGTCTTATGAAAATAATCCTGTGCAAAACAAAACCTTTCATAGTACTTGCAAGCTTTATAAGAATGCAAAACAATAAACTTCATGTAATGTAGCGAACTGTGAGCAAAAATTTTAAGAGAAACACAAAAGCAATGCTCTATTTTAACACATGAAGATGTTATTGTATTGCATTTATATCTTCTACTACAAATGATGTGTTTATTAACACCTCTTTGATTAAGGATACTCACCCCAAATTCGATAACCAAAACATCTACAATGCTGCCAATAACAGTGATGAAATCAAATGTGTTCCATGGATCTTTGAAGAAATTCTGCAACCAACACACACAACATTTCACTGATGTAGGCACACAAATACTCTGTGCCTACAGATGATATCAACTATGGGCTCTGGCAGGAGGTTCCTTAGACATCCAAGTATAACTACAGGTTATCAAAATAGCTGGATTCACAAAGCCAAAAGCTGAAGTAATTTTAGTGTTTATAGTACACAAAGCATAATTTTAAAAATTGACAATTTCATGAATTAAAAAAAGACAACAAATGAAATAAACGTCTTGTACATGTTAGCAACTTTTCCTGCATCTAAAAAACAATGAATAATCAATAAAATCCATACTTTCTGATAATTAGCATTTGAGCCTTACACTAGTTATCAAAAATGTTACATTATTCTTGGAAAAAACATAAGTAATTTTCCAAGTTTTCCTCAAAAAAATTATTGAGAAAATTCAAACATTTGAGGTTAAATCATATTAAAATGTAAAAACTGTCCAGCTACTTTAAGTTTAAATCTGCAGTTTATCTTAGATTTTTTTATGTCCTGCCAGCCTCATGAAGAGAAGAGCCTCGAGGCTATCAAGTCTGTCCATCCACCAGCTTCTTCAAACTTATTAAGCACAAATAAGAATTTATCTGCAAAGATACAGACCGAGAAGGGAAACTTATGAAAAAAAACGTAAAATGGAAACTACCTACATAAAGTTTATGTATGTACAAGAATTATATTTATTAGTAAAGAATGATAAGGAGGAGGAAGAAGTGAATTTAAAATTCTAATACACCAATGCCAATAAAACTGATGTTATTTATGGTATGAATGAAGTGAGAAATAAATTTTCAAAATAGCGAGACACTTTCTGAAAGAAGTTAAAATTGTTCACATAAGCCCATAAGATTTCTCAAATTCTCAGTAGCCTGATTTTTTTACATGTAAAGATTTTATGCATCAAATCACCAGGTTATAGCCATCCATGGAAACACACATCTAGAGAAAAGAAATAATGATTTGTGACTAATGGCCCATACAATGCGCTGGCCAATAAATCAACGAAAATATAGAGTAATATATGGGAATTGTACACATGGATTCAAAATATTATCAATTGAAGAAAGTATTTTATCAAGTAATAAGTGATATCTGCAAAATTGTTTCTTGTGTATTAAAAATATTTTCATGTCTATGTTAGTAGAGGTTGGTAGAGTTATGTAAATTCATCGTGATCTTAATAGAGAGATGGTTGATTAAATACCTATTATATAGAATATAAGAAATTAAGATATACCTTTACAGGCAATGTTAAAAATGATTATATAATGAAACACTTTCTAAAACTTAGAATTGTCCGAAAATTCTCTTTTACAACACCACACTAAGTAAGATAAACATTAATATGATTAAAATAAGAAAAAAATAAGTTTCAGTGATAAAATGTATGTATTAGACTTATTAGATTTTGTGTTATACCCAGTAGTCAAGTGGGCAGTTGTCCCCTGAGCACATGTTCTTTTACATGAAGAACGGATCATTTACCAGACAAAGAGATTGTGTAAAGTTAGTGTATGCTAGTGAATGTATTAAATTTTCTCAATTTTTTTTGTAGCCCCACTCACTAATTCACTAAAAATTGTTATCAAATGTTGCTAGTTTGCCCTACTTAACTTTGTGAATTAATGTCTCGAAAAAGTACAGGTTAAAACTTATCAAATTTCAAATAGTGAAACAAGTTTTATGTTATTCTTTTTCACAGTAATTTCCATGTCACAAATCTGTAACAGAATGAGCAATGTAGAAAACATGTATCATTAATGGAAAAATATTTGAATTTTTAAAATTAGCAAATAGCTAAAATTTACACTTGCTTACAAAAGTAAATATTTGCTAGATACTTATGCAAAGATTGTATCATCCCTCACCCCCAAAAAATGAATGTAAAGAAAGTACACCTACAAAAAAAAAAAAAAAAAGGATGAATTTAAAGGGAATAAGGGCGAAGTGATGATGCTGCGGAAGTAACACAACTATGAAACAAGGATTTCAATATACTTTTTTCAGTAATAGAGATATATATGTGTCCTTTGACATGTAGAAGACCTTTCAGTCTTTAGTGACATTTTTTAATTGTATGACTAATTCCTTTTTTTTCTCCTTCACTCATAAAACTAAATTAACTTACTGTAAATAATAAGTATTTTTCAATAGTATGACTTCAATTAAATCATTTGACAGACAACAGATATATTAAATATAGCAGTACTTACATATGAGTAACATTAATTTTTTAGAATCTTAAAAACAATATGTTTATTTAATTTCTAATGTATAATATTCTCATGAAATAAAACAACACAAGTTTGAAAAAATAATTTTGCTAATTGTTAATCATAAAACCTACATTATTTAAATTTTTTTCATCAGTTTAAATGATAAGTGAAAATGTAAAGTGAATGTTTAGCCATTATATTTTATACAAAACCGCAAATATTTTATATTAATTAAATTTTAAAAAAAATTAATTATTTTTTTAATAACAGAAATGCATAAGAACAAAACATGAAATTGCACCACTGATGAAAAACAACATTAATTAAGAAAAATTAATTATTTGAATTATGAAATTATTCACTGAAATGTAAACTTCTTGCTTAGACCCGACAACTTTGAATGAAACTACCTCTATTAAAAAAACTCATTAAAGCACTAACAAACAAGTTTCTATTTACATTTACATTTACATTTACAACACTTTGGAAAAAGTAATAATATTTGAAGAGTCAGTTAATGATAGAAACTATCTGATCCTTCTTTTCTAAGCCTTATAACAGAAATAGAACTAACTTAAATATATTTTAATTTCCTTAAATGAACTTATATTTTTCAACTTGGCACTCACAGATGAAAAATAATGTACAAATTAATAATAATGTAAAACAACAACCTTTTGTGGTACCATGTCAAAGTCTGCAAATTCTAAAATAATTCATAAATTCATAAATGAATTATTTCACTTTAGCATCTTCAAAAAATTCTGAAATGTAGATTTTATGGATTCACTTATTTGAAAAATCTGATCACAATAAATGCTCCAAATGATTAATTGAAGAAAATGTGTCATACTATGATTATAGAATATGAGTGGAAATTGAAGAATAATTCATTTTTGTCAAATATATTGAAAAAATTAAATAATTTTTTTTTTTAAAAAGAAATGCAATCATTAATATTTATTGTACTAACTGATTCAAAAGAGTGAAGCAATTTCTATTTAATCAAGCTGTATTACTTTAATAATATTCATGGTGTCATTTTATCATTAAAAATAATTAGATCGTGAGGCACACATGGTAGACAAGGGACAATGAAAGTGGTAGGAGCATCACCTTGCATCCAAATGCTATCATTTTCAGGATGCATTCTATGAGGAAGAACATGGTGAACAACGCGTTCATGAAATGGAGGATATCTTCAAGCATTTCTGGCGCTTCATGGAACTGAACAAACAAAACACACACATTAGCATCAAATACAGTCTACTTGGTAATGTGCAATCTGCACTGAAACTAAGCAAGTAACATTTCTATTACAAGAGTAAATAAATTTAACATTTGCTAATTTCGGTTCGTAGTAATAAAGTTCGGTTGTAGTGATTACATGTTTCAACATTAATTAATTAAATATTAGAGGTTTAGTTACAATGAAACATTGCATATTGTACTGAGTATAAAAGTAGAGAGCATTTGGTTAGTGCAGCCACAGGACTCAAATGTCTTCAGGAAACTAAAGGGGTTTAAATTAAGAATTTGGATAGAATAAATTAAGGTACGAATCTCTTTCAAAGCACTTTTACTACCACTTTTCCAATTATTTGTAAATGTAACCTCTAGACAGGAAAGCATTGTTTTGGTTTGGATCAGGTTACTTATGAAAGGTATCACAAATATTGAGAAATCTCTTCTGGGCACTAAACTGTAACTGATGATATGTTGATTATATACGGAGGCCTGACCAAGCAGAATCACCATTAAACCATCACCATGTCAAAAAATAAAACATTTTTGTGCCCTTCTAACCACAATTTTTCCATATATTTTGGAATCCATTTGAAAATTATTGTTATGAGACTACTGATCTTCAAAAAAAAAAAAAAAAAAAAAATCTTTCAAGCTTCAATTCATACAAAACACAATATAACATAAACAACTTTATTCTAGATTTCCTAAACCTGATTGTTTCAAGAGATGACGACCATGTTTGTTGTTGTTGCTATGTGTTTGTGCAGATACTTATATCTGATGGTGCAATATGCAATTCTCAATATCGGCGAGGGAGAAGGCATTGCTTTTCCTGGGTAGATGACAACAGTGGTGATTTACATTTGCCTTTAACTTGATTGTATGAAAGATGATAGAGCAATCAACAGGAGATGATGAAGATGATGATGATGATGATGATGATGATGATGATAATGATAATGATGATGATAAAATTAATTTAGCATGCTATAGATTTATCATGATAATTGTACTTTTTGTAATGGCCAACAAGTATGAAACATCACCTTTCTGTCATTCGGAAATGGATAGGACATAAATGTTTCTTGTAACTTTAAATTTATTTCAGTAGAAAATTACACAAAATGCTTGATAAAAGGAAACATGTGGTTTCCAAGAACGTGTAGAATGAACTTTTTTCCACAGTTACTTTTTAAATATTAACAATAAATAAATCATAGTCTTTTCTTTTCAAGAACTTAAAAATACAATGCTGGTGGAAAAAATGTAAATTTCTATTTAAAAAATTAAAGTTATGTCAATATCTCAAAATTAAATGTTTCAAATAAGGAAACAAAATTGGCCTGCAACAAAATGCATCCCAGTACCTTAAACCATTTTCTAAAGTTTTGCTGTTGCAATCTTAGGTGCTTCTTGCTGAATATACTAATCCTACATAAATTTGAAGGAAGTAAAGGAAGGTTTTCTCTTTGGAAACTGCACAAACAAATCATTATTTTTTTATCCTTTTAATAGTTCTATGTTTTTCCTATATGCATTTTTCTTTATCTGCTTGTAACTGGTCTTGATTTTCTGTGCACTCACTCAGTCTTTTTCTTCGACATACTGGGCAGTGTTTCCTTCACCAGCCACCATTAAGACATGCTCAGGCACTTCTTTCTGTGACCTTTTTTCATTTCTCACATACAACTTACATTTTATGGAGAAAGAGTTGTTCTTCTGCAGCAGAAAACAGTAATTTTTCAATAGAAAAACTCATACTGTGGGGTCCTGATATAGAGAAAATGGATAATCTTACTCCTATAAGTAGGAAATCATTTGCTCTAATATATTGTGTAGTCAGAATCCATGTTATTTGAGCCTTTGATACATAAAAATTGGTTCACAGCAAAACATCTCCATAACACAAAATGTCCATCCATCTGTGAACGCTAGTGGCTACACCATTTTCAGACTCTCAACATGGATTTAGAAACTAAAAATCTGCGGACAAAGTAATTTTTCCTTTTCTTGAAGATGTGTCATCAATAGATCAAAATAAAGCACCTTTTGGAATAATTTTAGATCTTTCTAAAGCCTTTGATGCCATTAATCAAAATATTTTGCTTTCAAAATTACTTTCATATGGAATTTGTAGTATTGCTTTAGAGTGGACACCCATGTACCTTATTTGAGGTTACAGGTTCATGTCATTCTCACACCTTTAACATCAATCACAAAGAGTACCTTACTGGCACAAAAGAACATTATTTATCCATCTTTCCAACTCTGCCAATTGAGTGTTGGTTCCCATAGGGGTTCAATCTTAGACCCTCTCCTCCCTTTTTTACATGAAATGCCCATCAGAGTCATCAGATTTCCATCAGAAATAGAAGAACAGTTCTGTTTGCTTATGTCATGAATGTTCATTGTGAAATAGAAACAATAAGTAGTATGATTTCAGATGTTTCAGATTTGTTTTGTGATAACAAATTAGTAGTAAAAGAAGGGAGGGGAATGTTTTAAATGCAGTTTTTCATTTCAAACAGGCAATTGCAAGTGCCATAAAATAATCAATATGCAATTGTCTGACTTTATGGTAATAAACTTTCTGGATATCTCAATTTAATCCAACTTCAAATGGAATATCCATATAAATGAATTGAATACTAAATTAAGTTTATTATGTTATGCACTGAGAATTCTTCCCAATTCAAACAACATTCATTGAGCTTATTGCATACATTTAGCGAAAGTAAGTACATTGCTACTGGTGTAATATTATGGGGAAGCTCATCCAATAGAACCGAGACTTTTATATTTCAGAACAATTGTATGAATAATAAGCAAATGCCATCCATGACATTCTTACAAGCCTCCTTTCATTGAGCTTGGAATTTTACCATTGCCTCATCTACATATTCATGAAGATTTAGATTTTTGCCCACTTTCCCTGATCCATTAAGCAAATGCTGAAATGGACTTTTGATTTACTTCTGGACATAAATGTAGGTTCACTTTATGACTGGACTTTACAATGACAATATTTTAATATTAACGTTCAGAACTGCCGGCCCGGATAGCTGAGATCGTTAAGTTTGAAGAGCCATAGCTGCTTCGTGTCTGAAGGGTCGCAGGTTCGAATTCCTCCCGGGCATGGATGTTTGTGTGTTCATCATCATTTCATGTTTCATTCCATTAGGGATAACAACCTTGGGGTGTAAAAATGGATTCAGCATAAATATGTTGATACCCCCCCCTCCTTTCCGAAAAGTCACGTGCACTTGCCCCCGGGAAAATGCGGCTGGGCATCGTTGGGTACAGTTGCGTGTTCCTAAACGTGCGTTTATACTGCGCGAGCGAGCGAACAAGCGGTTCTCCACGAACGTTCGTTCAGCGAGCGATTGCGGGGGAGAAGTTACTACCCGTTTACACTGAGCGAGCTCGTCCTCCGAACGTTTGTTCTGCCCGCCATATTGTTCGCTCGCAGAGGCAGCCTGCCCAAATGAGGTTTTTGTGTATCTGCAGTGTCCTTGTAATAATGAACAAGCAACTGAAATTATTTTTACGGTAATAAGAATACACGAAATTTGGGGTTAATTCTTTTTGCGGGATTTCATAAAACACACACACACACACACACACACACACACACACACACACACACACACACACACACAAAAGCTCATTGACGAATAAATCGGATTCTATTTCTGAGAACTAGATCATGAATTGAAAATGTAAAATTCATTTCTTGTGTCGAATTTGATGATTGTAAATTGCAGTTCTTTATAAAATTTTTACAAGAATGGAAAGAACTGCAGATTTCTTAAATGCCTCTAATGGCTTTTTAGGTCTGCAAAAAGGTCACAATTTCTCCAAAAATATGAATTAACATTTAACAAAACATGTTAATTTACGTAAAAACTATTGTATTGAGCAGAAATGTCTGATAGTTAAAGCAATTAAATTAAAACAATAAAATAACATATTCTCAACAAAAACGAATATAAAACACTTTATTACTTATGCCACAGCTTCATTAATATTATTAAAGTGCGTCAAAGTGAATTGTCTCTGACATCAGCAATATTAAGTGTAATATTGAAAAAAAATTAAAAATATAATTAAAATAGACAACTATGTATTTTTTCTGCATCTTCTCTTTTCTTGCCTTTAAACTTATCATTTAAAAGTTTCATACTTTTTCTATGCCAACTACAAACTGCATAATTCGCCTTTATGCTCACAAGACTGTTGAAATGAGAGACATTCGCCAACGTGTTCGCAGGTAGAAATGAAAACGTTCGACCGCGTCCCGAACCTCTCAGCTCCGAGCGAATGTGTTCACTCGGCGTCTGCATTCGTTTACACGGAACGACTATATTCGCTCGCTTCCGCCAACCGATCTCGTCCGAACGACATGATTCGCTCAGGTGTTCTGTTACTGGGGTTCACCAATGACATCCATCCCACTGGTGTTTTCCGGGTATTGGAATGACATTGATGTGAGATTATTAACTATTATGGCAAAGAAACTCGAGAGTTATACCCTCAAACTCGAACAATGCCGCCAGAACCGTCACAGTAACACAGCTCCAATTCTACCAGAACATCGACGGGAAGCGGGAAACACGCCTATCAAAAAATTAACTCGTGTCTATCATAGCCAAAGAAAGACCTTGATTCTGGAGGTTTATCCTCAGTTGAATAAAAATGCAAACATAGATTATCTGGAAGAACAAAAGATGTGCTGGTCGTTGAACAGATAGTCTTACAAAACGCAATACGTCAGCTGACGAATTTTCATGAAGATAGGATCCATTACAAGAATGCTTATGACTTTCTGTCACATAGTTAGCTAATGAAGATCTTAGAAGTATTTGACGTTAGACAAACAGATCACGAAATACTTCGAAGCACGTAGGTATCTTCTTGCTTTCACCATTTAGGCCTGCTGGCATGTCCCAATTTCAAATCACCGTAGAATACAGTCCTCC